TCCCGGGGATTTCTCCCCGGCACGCGCATCCCACGGCGAAAACGTCAGGCTTTGCGATGTGCAAAAGTCTCGCGTTTTCATCTCGCGATGCGCGCGTGCCGGGGAGAAATCCCCGGGATTTCTCCCTCGTGTGAATACCCCTTAACGTGCGGAGCGGCGACTCGGCGCACAGCGGGAATAGTTCTTCCGGTTCTAACACTTCCGGTATGCGGGAGCAGGCCTAGCCGGCTGACAAGGTGCTGAGGTGGTGCGCGTTAAATGGGTTTTGAAGCCCTTGACAGCGAAGTGAGTTGTAATATTAATAATAATATTGGATTAATTCGCAACTCCAACGCCCTATAAGTGGCGGGGCGGTAGTTCCAAGATGGCGGAAGAGACGGGGATAGATTCTCCAGGATATCCCGTGTGCCTGCTCGCTGACGCTGTTCAGCGCGCTAAAAATGATTTATTTGCCTACAAATGCAAAGCGGTTAGGGAGGAATCATATACCAGGTGACGGAGATGCCAATGCACGTTAGGAAAACGAGCATGCTGTTATTTAAAAGTTGCAGAAACGTCAAACTGCGAAGCTTTGTGGTAAGCGAGCGCGTTTTAGGCACCGGCCACGTTACTGCTTGTGTCAAAATATTTTTGAGGGTGATGAAGATGTGTTTGCGCTTTGCCTGGCCATTAGTGCTCAAAAAAGAGAGTCGCGAACGGTGACCGTCAAGCTTCGGAAGAGCAGCAATACACAGTATTGATGTCTTCGCGTCACAGCCTCTGAAATCGCTGCTGACCGTCTCGATTTTAGTGTATTGCAACACATAATCAAACTGCTCTATCGTTATTGATAGAAAGTTTGTTACCGCAGGCTACCGTGCGATAGCATTACAACCGCAAGCTCGCGCTGCGCCTTTGAAGAACAATTTTCAGTGCGCGCCAAATGCGTTGCCGTACTCATCACTCTAAAAAAAAAAAAGAAATGTAGTCCTTACATTTCTTGTCACATATGCGACACTCCAAAGCTTCAGTTCGCCGTGCAACCCACTGACGTCAAACTGATGGCCCCAACCTTTACGAGAGGCTTGATGACGGCGCAATATAAGATATCAAACAGCTAAAGTACGCATCAAAAAATGCCGAAAAAAAAACAAAAAAAACAGCGATGTTTTGCAGTAAAATTAAAAAAAAAACAATTACTTTTTTTACAGTCATTTACACTTATTTAAGCTATTTTAATAATTGCACAACTCGGCTATCAAGCCGCTCGTGAAAGTTGGTAGCGCCGGTTGAACGTCAGTGCGCTGTACGTCCAACTGAAGTTTAGGGGTGTCGTTCGCTATACAAAAACTGCCTATTAATAATCGGCGTGTTTAGGGGTTTATTCATTGCTTTATCAAAAAGAAATATTTTAGTATACCGTACATTTTTGTACAGCGTTATTTGCAACATTGCGGTCCCTCTGGCCAAAACTGCGCGTTCTAAGCTCCCGTCACGAACGGCTGGCTAACACAGACGCGCTTGAAATGCTTCGAGCATTTTTTTATTTGCTTTGTAATTACCTGAAAGCGAGTACGGGTATTCTGTCTTTTTAAAGTGCTTGGAATAAATGGTCATGTTCCTTGTAACGGCCTTAAAACGCGAACCCATTCCCGATTCGTATTAGTCGACATACCGTCGCGCGACGAGTTTTCTCCTACTTTCGCGCGACGAGTTTTCTCCTACTTATGGCAATGAATAGACTTTCCGTAGACCGTACTATAGAGTCCTTCCTTATTAGCGGGAGCGTTTTTCGTCACGTTGAGCGCAGACTGAGCTGGCGGCCATGCACAAGACCAGAAATTCGCAGCGTATGCTGCGGTACACGAAAAGTCCCTAGTGAAATTAGACATCCCGGTCTTTTGTGCAAGGCTGTTGTAAGGCGGGGCACAAGAATTCCTTTTTTTAACTCGCTCACTTTCTTCGTTAAAACGGCTCCAGGCATCAAGGCCGACAGTACCTGCCACCGTTTCCGCGCCGCCGCCGCCGCTGCCGTCCCCGCTCCTCTGGTTCTCCGTTCGTCCGCGGGAGGGCGAGCGGCGCGCTGGAGTTGCGAATACGTCGATGTATCATGTCCGCGCATATTTGGTCATCGGGCTACCACTGCGAAGTCGTTGGCTGCAGCAGCAATTTCTGAAAACGGAAGATAGCGCGCGACAAATTGTGCACCGAACACAAGAAGTCGCAAAGCGAATGCGGCTGTAACGTATACACTTTGCATCGCTTCCCCGCTGATATCAGCGGGGAAGCGATGCAAAATCAGCACATAAAAAAAGCGAATAGGCAGAATAGAAACGGACATCTACAAGTGCAGTAATAGGCCTCGACAAGTCAAATGTAGAACGAAGTTTGCAGCTTGTGGTGCAAATGTAAGACCCTGGGTGTAATGATTGTTATTGGCTACTCAAGTTTTGTTTTTCATTCCGTTCATTCCTACGAGGATGTGCACTATAATTTGGTGTGTTGCTCGGAAGCAACGGCCGTCAAAATACGTTAATGGAAACAATACGAAAAGAGGGCGCAAAATCGTCGTCGCCCCCCCCCCCCCCTCCCCTCCCCCGCCCCCCCCTCCCCCCCCTTCTTTCACCCCTATCTCCTGAATAGTTCCGACCCATCTGGCCGTCATACGAAGTAGAGATGTCCCGGTAACTAGCGATCGTACCTCGACTGTGCACCATAACAAAAGCCGTTCGGCCCGCGTCGCCAACTCCCATTGTATTTCTACGATTAAACAATGATACTTCTATGCCCAGGGTCGCCCTCGCTCGCGCATAGAAACCCTCCGTTAGTCAATCGCAGAAGGCTGTCATTCTTCACAAACAACACGCGAAGAGTAAACACTGGTAAACGTGCTCAGGAAAAGTGAAAATACTTCCGATTTCGATTACCGGCGACGCTGGCGACGAACCTTTCGGCGCTGTTGGCGCAACAACGGGCGCCACGAAGGCGAATAAACACGCCAGAACACAAGAATAATTCAAACTTTTAATAACAAACAAATTAAGAACTCACTAAAGGGATAACAATGAAGATATGCACGGGGTCAATGGGGACAACGCGGGAGCTAGGAACAACGCTGCTCTCCGCATACCAAAATGGGCGCACAGCAACCGTACGCCAGACGGCGCGGCTGTTGCTGCAACACGGAAGATGGCGACGACTACGCGGAAAAGGGGCCACCGAGATGGGAAAGGTGGAGCGGCAGATAACGGATGAGTAAAGCCCCCTCATCTTACAAAAGTAGCGCAATGTGCGTTGACGGACGACGCACGTGCAACGTGCAGCCATTGGAAAGATCATGGCGTCATAGCCCAGCACTGAGCTAGATTTCAGATGGCATGATCTTCCCAGAAGTGGCGCGCAGCACGTGTCTCGAGTAAAGCCCCTCGATGAAGGCCTTTTTACAAGTACCGCCAACCATTGTTGTGGAAACGCGCGAGACACGTGCCGCGAGCGCGTGCTCCGCCGCCATTCGCTTCCAAGGGCCGCTCATTTCAGTGCTGCACCGCCATTTGCTTCCAAGGGCCGCTCGAGACATGGGCCTCGTGCACTCGCGCATTTGACGCTACTTGCAAGACACGTAAACACATCGAGGGGCTTTAGTCTCGAGCATTTGCACAACAATGAATGGCGAGGATAGAAGGGCTTTACGGATGAAAGGAGAGCCACGTGACTGGCGCCCCGCTGCGGCGAGACACCGAAACACACTCGTCCCGAGCGAACAAGTGTGTTTCGGGTCCTCGCCGCTGCAAAAGCTATGCGCTGACGTCCAGGTTTCCCGAGGGAAATAAATGGCTCTGTGATGCTCTGTGCTACCAGACCCTCGCGCTCCAAATCTGCGACCGGTCATTCTATGGCTCCGACGTCGAACTGCCAGGATTTGTGAGTATAGAGGAGGCTATGGTCTTGCTTACACTCCGTTCTACATTAAATCTGACCGCAACCAACAGGGCTGCGATCCGATAGACTCAATAAAAAAGCGCCAAAAGTGCACTGTCACGCTGCTCGTCGTCCTCTTTTTTTGCGTTTTCTAACACCGGCTAAAACAATCACGTACAGGAAAAAAAAAGTCATATGTTTCTTCCACAATGTGCGCAGAAACGAAAGCGACAGCTGTAGAATGGTCGTGCTATGCGGGTGGAAAGGTGCCGTCACGTAACAAAGGACCGTGGGGCGACGTGGGTAATTCTCGTAGCCGTCGTGGTCGGCGTCGTGGATGTCACTGACGACTGCCACCAGTGATTCGTGAAATAACAAAGCAAGCGCGGAGGAAGTTTCTAAAACCATCCAACATTACGCGAATAAATTGCGAATAAGGTAGGTAATAGCCCCACTTGCCAGGTAAAGCAAGAAAATCATTATGCTGACTGCAAGGTTGGAGTCCTGTAAGAAATTCCGCCTACGTGTAAACAAAGGTATATTGGCCAGACGGGCATATTGTTAACCACAGATTGCAGACGCATGACTTGTCCTTACAATCATAAGTGGGAACGGTTGCTAGCTGGTGGTTGTCGAACCATTTTTAAAAAGACACGAGATGATTGGTAAGGAAAATTTTAGAAGACTATGCAATATAAAAGAGAGCCACGAAATTCGTCAGTCATATGTAGCTGCATTTACACGGCAAAATGTCTGACTTTTTAGATACTGTGTTGAGTGACCACCCCATAATGTGTTCGGTGTTGCTGATTTTGTTTTTATTAAAGTTCAGTTGAGAGTAAGTGCTTGTAATGTGCGCACTTCTTCTATGTTGTCCCTGTCTTATTGCCCGCTGTTTTTCCTATTGTCATATAATCCACATGATCACGAGCGAGCATTTAGAAACACCCTATAATATAGACACACTAGTGTTAAGCGGCTATACATTATCACATCGCCCTAGCTCACGAACAGACGCAAATGTGTGAACCACCCTTACGTTCTGGCACCTCGACAAATGTATACTGACCTAATACTTGTATGACCTCGCTTCTGTTTTCCAGCGGAAGAAAGGCGTAGAAGAGGCTCCGAAGTTCCTCCGCGAAGCCGGCGTGATCCAGAGGCTGGAAGCTCTAGGTGAGGCCATGGAACGCGCTTTCAAACAGATAGAATCAATGAATAATTATGTACTATTCATTCGATAACGATGGTTTTGTTACAGTACCTGGAACCTCTCTCTCTGACTGGTGCGTTAAGCATCGTTATCACACTCATAAATCGAACGCGGTCCAGCTACAAATTACGTCGCACAAGCCGCCGTGTCACGCTGTTGGGTGTCGCGATCATGGCACTTGACTATACATAGACGCTCTAGCAAGAAAAAGACGAGCGAACGCCTTTGTCGCTGTCGCCGCAGCGTCCCGACTCCTGGGCGCTGAAGCTTACGTGTACCGTGACGTCGGAGAGTGACCTTCAGCAGGACAGGCGTCTGCCATGTCCGCCACCTCTGCTGGGTCGCTGCCAGGATCGCAGCAGGCAACATAACGACACAACGGTGACCTCCTCCAGTGGAAGTGGAGGGACCACAAATTAGGACGTGATAGATACTCCAGTCAAAGGCGCGTACGAGGCACCATAGTTTCGAGAACTACTGATCGGTTGATGCGTATCGGCTTTTAAGGTGTTAGTTAGGACCTTAAAACCTTTCTTTGGAGCACCGAAAAGTTTTTCTTGTTGTGGATAATGCGTCGAAACTGGTGATCGGAGCACATCAATAGAATCTCAAGGCCATACGGCCGCTGAGAAAACGCAGGCATCGATGACAATTTGCATAGAAATGAGACGGCCTGCTCCGGAGGAGCAAGGGCCAAACGCTGGGTTTTCAAAGAGCCGAGTGAAAGACTGGAACATTGGGGAGCATGGCCGAATTTCTGGCCATTTGGTGGGATAAAAAACTTTCAAGCAAATATCAAAATTCTAATTTATTTGCGATCTATGATACCCAGACAATTGCAGTCCTTGGGAATTTAGCTATCTTTTGTCAAGAAAGCAGAAATTGATAATTGTAATAAAAACACATGCAAACAAAAAAAAAACATTTCTTTTACACAGCTTGGATGGAAAAAGCATAAGATAACACGAATTTACAAAAAAAAAAGTTTCGAGCTATATTTACCGCAAAAGAAAATGTCAGCTAGAACGTTACGGACAGAAACCCAGAGAGAGGAAACCGACATACGCACCGCTGACTCTGCACTTGGTGACGTTCAACTTTCAGAAAAGACCAGATCCATTCTCGACCAGGGACCTAAGTATGCTGTAGCACCACAGCTGGAGGCCGTTGACAAGGTTGCCCTTGTTCGGACCAATGCGTCCCGTGCTTACGAAGAGCAGAAATCACAGATTAATTCTGAAGGCCTCGAATGCGTCGCAAGCCAAATGTGCCCGGGACCTCCAGGCATGGGCTTCGGCCGTGCTGTGCAGGAGGCACGAAGAAACTATCTCCAGCTCTGTGTTAAATTTAAAACGATTAATAGTTGCGGATGCTGCTACACAATTGAAGATAGATCAGCTTGAACTTTAAAATTGTACTTAAACATAAAGAAAAAAATACACTGTCATCTTATTGCAGGATATGCCAGTGCAGTGCAGCTTTCAACACCACAACCATCCTTGCCAGTAAAAACAGTCCCCATGCACGCGAAATACTCGAGGCGCTCGCTATCGAGGAGCACGCGGAAGACTGCGACCCCATCTATCAGTGTTCACAAAAAAGAAAGACAATACCTAGGAAGTGTAACGCCCGGACCAACAACAGCATGAGCTTGTGGCGGCTCAGTTTAAAAACAATAATGTTTAAATATTTCTGTGTATTTGTTGGTATTGCTTTATAGGAGTGTAATTATCAGTAGTAATCTATTTGTGCATTAGGTTTATTTATGTACGTAATTAATTTCTCGTTCTCTATGTTGGACTTGAATGAAGAAGAATTTTTGGAATAAAGTTTACTCTACAACACCGTTGGTAGTCAGCTGTTTGCCCTCTTCGGTCATTTTTTTTACGTCATGTTCAAGTACATTTCTAAAGTTCAAGCTGATCTATATAGAAGTCTCAGATAAAAATGGAGGTTTCCTTGTCCTCGATGCCGGGACCTACGGGGAGAAAGCTGCTCAGCGCTCCCCAAGCTTCGGCAGCGCGCCTCCTAGCACGCTGAAAGCTATCACCGCTATCTTTGCTGGCTCAGCGCGTGCGGCGCGAAGAAGCTCGCCGCACGCGCTGAGCCAGCAAAGATAGCGGTGATTGCTTTCAGCGTACAGTCGGGAGCAAAAGTTTGCGGGGCACGGGAGCGCGTGCCGATATGCATCGCCGCGCCGTGCAACGGCGCGCCACCGTATTAAAAATCCGCGCTTTGCGCATGCGCGCCCTTCGTGCTGGCAGTCATGTCACTTTCGCTCATTTCTGTCCGACTCAATCTTGATAACCGGAGTCGGCGCCAGGAGCGCAAGTTTTTGTTTCGCTGGCTGTCATGCCCCGCGTCCTCTTCAGCTGCCTCAGCAGCCGCGCTGGTTGACAATGCGCCTGGCTACCCCCCCCCCCCCCCCCGACACACGCACACACACACACACACGAGCTCCGTGACAAAGCGCGGCGGCTGAGACGGCTGAAGACGCGATGCACACAGCCAGCGAACCGCTAACTCGCGCCCCTAGCGCCGACTCCTGTTATCAGGAGCGCGTCGAAAAGAAACGAGCGAAAGAGACATGATTGCGAACACAAAAGGCACGCATGCGCAAACCGTGTCTCCTTAATGAGGCGGCGCGCCGTCGGACGGCGCGGCGATGCATTTCGGCACGCGCTCCCGTGCCCCGCAAACTTTTGCTCCCGACTGTACTAAGAGGCGCGCTGCCGAAGCTTGGGGAGCGCTGAGCGAGGGGCGTGAACACATCGGAGTAGGCCACGCACCCTCGCCCCTCGGCTCACTTCCAGGTGGCGCAGCCTGTACCGCGAGCCACACGCTCCTCTGTTCGCATTTCATGTTTCCCCGATAGTACATTTCATCTACCCTGAAGGACGCCATAATTCAAGTCATCTTAAGTACGTGGACAGCTTCCTGATCTTGTGTAGCACAGAGACAGAGAATCAAGAAAATGAGTGCAGAAGCACGGCCATGAAAAGCCTCCAAGAATGTTGCCCGGAGTTGGTGTTCATTTACGAATAACCCGTTCACGAGTCCATCAAGTTCCTAGACCTTGCATTTGAGTTTAAAGAAGGACATGTGCACTGGAAGTACGAACCCCGCTCGAGCAAAGCTTTTCTTCAATTTACATCCGGCCAATCGAAAATAATCAAACGGAAGTGTTGCCAACACGGCTTTTGTACCCGCACTGAGCATGTCATGCCACCGTCAAGTTGACGAAAGTTTTCAAAAAGAGATCTCTCGGTTTCGCGACTCCGTGTATCCAGGTGTCATCTTATAGACCTTTTCTGTGTACTCTCGTCCCCAGCAACCTAATAGGCGTAAGCGGTATGGGCGATGAAAAAATAATCCATTTCAACCTGCAAATAGTAAAAAAAATAGAGGGGAGGCAAAACGAGAAAGTGTGAGGGTTACGTTTATATCTTAAGTGCCTTCTATTGGCGTGGCAAAGGCAAAACAATGTTTTCGCCCATACTGGAAGTGACGTCAATTCAAGATGGCGGCGCACTTGCAGAAAAGGTCTGTAAGACGTGTGTGAAACAATATGCAGGAAATTATCCAGAAAATCACCAAGTACTGAGCGACAAAAGCAGACAACACGAAAGAGCATCGCGGTGGTACCTTACATCTGGGCTGTCACCCACTGACCCAAAAGATCACCTAGCAACAGGACGTCGTGCGCTCCGACAGGTCATGTGCTTGGCACCAAACAAAGCCAACTCCATGTGTCGCAGAGTAAATCAGGCCAATGACCAGAACCCCTGTAACACCGCGCGCAGGACGCAATACGCGACGTGTCAAATTGGTGTTGTGTACCAGATTTTCATGTCATGCGGGGAATACTACATCGGGCAAACGGGCCGCTGCATTAACGACCGAGTCAGTGACCGCGCAGCATTGGTGAAAGAGCAACGGCTGGGTATCTTTCAGCCCATTGCCCCAAGTGAGGGTGCCGTGTAAGTTTTAAAAATAGCTTCGTTCGATTTACCTGTACCTCCTGCACTGGAGAGAAAAGTGTAGGGCAGTGTACTTTCGGTCTGTGTAATCGGGATCCGACCGGAAGTACAGTACTTACACTTTTCTGCCCGAATGCAAGAGTTTCAGATAAATCGAACGAAGCTATTATTTCCATCTTTACAAGACAAAAAATGCCTTTGCGCGCGAGATTCCTGAGGCCATTTACGGCCATTAAGGAAAGCGCGGATGGATGTGTGAGCATGCCCTCCATCACGGTGAGCAAAAAAGAAAAATAGTTTCTGCGGTGTGGCACGTCCTCGTGAAAGGAAATAAGAGGGATGGTGTGTTAGAGGTGTTAGGTGGGTTGAGGTGAGGTGGAATTGTGTAATGTATTATAAAGTAGTTTAATTTATTGGTAATATCTTATGTGCAGATTAAAAATAAATAAAGGACAAAACGAATTGGGGTTAGGGTGATGCAGAAGTATAAAGGTACAGTTGATAGTCAGCGGTGTGTATGTCTGTTCCTTCTTTCTGAGTTTCTGTTCCTAACGCTCCGCCTGACCTTTCATTTTGCATCAATGTACCTGTACCAACTAGCTCAACTTCAGCCCGTTATATTTGCGGTGCGAGACGATTATTTTTCAAGCAAGATGTAACTGTCCTTCTTTCCACTTTTTTTCTCTCGCGCCTGTGCGCGCCGCGTGGAGGAGATGTAAGCCGCTTGGATTGGCTTGGCTGCTCGTCTGAAAAACGTACGCAAGCCTCGAGCGATTTCCGCTCCAACTTCGGCGCGCGCTGTATTCTTGGGTTTCTGTGTTGGTGAGGGGGTGGTAGCAGTGGTACACTCTAAAAAAAGTCTCTGCGTCTACTTTCACGCACAACACTCGGAGAGCCAATCAGCGCAACTTACGGAGGCAGCTCAGTGAATGACGATGCCGAAACATATGTTTAGACCAAAAACCGCAGACTGAGTTGTGACATTAAGCAATGCAAAACGCCACGCTTGCATTGCTTAATGTCACAACTCAGACTGCGTTTTTCGGTCTAAACATATGTTTCGGCATCGTCATTCGCTGAGCTGCCTCCGTAGGTTGCGCTGATTGGTTCTCCGAGTGTTCTGCGTGAAAGTAGACGCAAAGACTTTTTTTTAGAGTGTAGTCTGCCTTTTTTGCGATGGACCCAGAGTTGAAGCGTAGACTTCTCGACCCCATCAGGCAGCTAGTGCTTCGCCCCTACGAGGACACGCCTCGAAGTCAAGCGAACCTCTTAGCGGAAGCTCCGAGGCCAACAATGTGCCTGCGGACAGCGGTGCCGGCGGGTCACAGCTCCCGCTCGAGTCGTATCTGAGTCTAAATGGAAGTTACCATTTTCTTATACTTGTTGTTTTTCGAACATCAAAATATTCTGGTAAAAAAACTGCAACAAAAACACCAAGATTAATAAGTAACTTCTATAGCCCATTGGAAGTTTCCGAAAGAGCGTAAGCACCACGGGGCTATAGTGGCCAGTCACGTGACTGCTAGTTGCCACTTTTTCGCAGGTTCCCGCGGGCGCGAACTACGAAATCGGTTGGCGCCGTAAATATAGCTTTGTTTTTTTCTTGTAAATTCATTTTATGGCATCTTTTTTTTATCCAGTCTGGTACTTTTTTCCCCTTTGCACATTAAGGCAATCTATAAGTTTTAATGCAAAAACAAAAAGCTTTGTTGAGTCGTTGAATAAAACCTATGCGGCTCCGAAAATTTAATTACTCCTTCTTAATATTTTATGTCTGTCGTCTAAAATATTCCGGGGTAACATTGAAGTGCTTGCTGTTGTTGTGTTTACATTCTAATTTTAGTGAATTTAGCAGAGAAGCGCCGAGACAGGGATGCCCAAGTGTCTGGGGAATGAATAAAGCCGGGGTCAATCTTCTCACGCATTGTACAAAAGACAGTCAGCATATATAGGAGGTATTCACTGGACGCCATATTTGTGGGTGCTGTTTAGAGCGCATGCTCAGAACGAGCTCCGATTAATAGCCTGCTAAGACCGGCAACCTTGATGGTGCTAAATGCACGCTCCAAAAGGACTGTTGAAGCTCGCCGTCAGCACGCGCTCAGCAGCAGCGCACACGGATATGGCGGCCAGTGAATACTCCATATATACAGATTCGAAGGCGAGTCACCGCGAGATCTATGCTTTGATTGCCGCATGTCAATGAGTTCAAAGGTCACTATTGACATGTGGTATTCGAACGACGGTTATTGCGGTGATTCGTGTTTGCAGACTGTGTTTTGTGTGCTGTATGAGCAGTGTGACCCAGGCCTGATACTGCCTAGGGTGCCCAATGTCCTTCTGTTTAGGGGGATGCCACCCTTTATTAGCGGCGAGATGTTTCGGTGGCGCCCTCGTTCGGTTACTTTTCGTGACGTCATTACCTTGTGAACAACAAGTTCCATGATGTTTGCAATGGGCATGGCGGAAGCCTGAAATCATAGCAGTCTCAAAGCAACACTGCCAACACCGTCAAAATTCAAGTTCTTACATTCCTCTTATTTCCGTCGATGAGACATCCTTTGCTGACGTCATATTCAACATTCGGCCAATTGTGGTGGGCCGACCACAGCGACACTTTGGACCGCTCATGTCGCCAGATGCCGAGAGCACGCGCTCACGGGGAAAACACAAAGAAATCGACGAAAACGAAATGTCGCCGTAGCATAGTCGGCGCCAGAAACGCGTTCAGGGACACGCTTTTTCACGCGCTTCTGAACAAAAAAGAAAAATAAACGAGTGCGACAAAATGGCCAGAGGTGTCCACCCTAAGCAAACCGCACATGAAGACACCCTAATACTGCCAGCAGGTTTCAGTGCTCTATGTGCGCGTTGGCTTGTTCTAGAATAAAAGGCACATGTTACATATCCAGTAATTATTTTCGATGGTGTATCTCTTAGAAAATGCAACAGCTCCTTCGACCGTAACGAATGATCACCCAGCCTATAAGGTTAATACAGGGGCATAAACAATCTGCCTTGATGATACATCCTTCACTGACGAAATATTAGCCAATTAAAAATGGGGTTTCAACCTTCCTTTTTGAAAAGCTTCACTTATAATATTTCTGAAAACGATATAGATTACCGATTGCGCAGCCTGCTATTTGCTTGTTCAAACCCCACCTATAAGGGCACTTCATTTGACATGGGAAACAAGCAGTGTAGGGCATACGGTTGTGGCTGGACCCTCTAATCAGATGTGGGCCGTCTTAAGTCATATTTTACTATAACTCTTATAGATATCTATATTGTCTAGAACAAAGCTATGCCTCGTGTAGATGACTCGCGTATCGATTGGTCCCAGTAGCTCGTAGCGTCGGTTGCGTCTGGACTTAAGCTGAAACAATGTATACAAATGAAATATTTTATTTGGATCGGATATAGCCGACACGAGTGCCTTGTGATATGTTTAAATGATTTCTTTATTGTACAAACTTGAATTGTGATTGCTAATTATTAAAAGCGATTGCTTTTCGCGCCCATGGCGTTTTGAACGATTCATCTTCAGGCATACATGCAAAAGGCTGTTTTCACATGTTTTAAAACTTGATAGATATTTTCCGTGGTTGGCGTCTTTTCTCGCAGGCTACACGGTGAAAGATTACGGTGATGTCGCAGTAGAAGGCAATCCAGACCTCATAGTGGAGAAAGCAATTGAAAGTGACGTCGTTGGGAAGACCACCAAAAACGTAAGCTACTTTCACTCTTGCTGCCTTCTTTGTTGTATCGCGGTTTGACTAGCGACTTATACGCCACTAGTAAAACGGCGAAGCACTGCCGCGAAGACCCTTTGGGATAACTGTTTCTGACTATGCACTCAAAGATATGGCAGCGCTTGTTTGAATGATGTTCAAAGCTGCGCACGCGAACTCCTCTCGTCGTAAGTTCTGCGGAAAGTTGTCCTTGAGTATACATTACTTCCAAGTTGCACGTGACGTTAACGTACTGTGCCAGTGAGCATTCCCTCATTTTCTCGTTGAGAAATGTTAAATCGGTGGTGCGAAATACATTCTGCAGTAGGTTCATTGGTGGCAAAAAGGTCCTGCAGAATACACACCGATACGGCGTCAATGCAAAGCCGTGCCTAGAAATTCGAGCCAGCTTGTGCCCTTCCTTTTCAGATCCGCGACGCTGTGGCGGCAGCGGTAAGCTCGGGTCGGCTCACCGTGAACCTGGGTGGAGATCACAGCTCGGCCATCGGGACCGTTACCGGGCACGCAGCAGCCACCCACTCGGACGTGGCCCTGATCTGGATCGACGCCCACGCTGACATGAACACCGTCAGGTCGAGCGGCTCCGGTGAGCTCCGGCCATCCTTGTGCCCGATATTCTGACGCAATTTGGATCAGTGCCGCGGATGGTTTTTCTGGCATGTTCCATAATGTTCTTTTTTTCTTCTATTTGACATGCTATCGGTGCTTTTTGTTAAAACCGATTTCTGTATTTTTGAAAACGACAGAAGTTTATCGGTGTTTTTCGGTTAAAACCGGGAAGTCTAGACCCTAGCTCAAATCAGGCAGTCAGTGTAATACTTTGAAAAACTGTAATTTGTCCAACCTGCCCGGTTTGTTAGAAGGGGACTAAAATGCAGGGCTCACCACTGCTTCGGTGCGAATGTTAGGAAAAAGGTTTTCCCAGTTAAAAATAGTCAATGTTAAGGACTTTGAGTGGAGTAGTAATTACAATTACACCTTTGAAAAACAAGAAATGTGACAAAAAGGCCAACAAAGCACACGCGAAACGTCCAATATGTAAAAAAAAATATATATATATAAAAAGCGGCCATGAAAGTAACAAAATAAGTATGCATTGTCCTCTACAACAGTTTTGCTGCGTCGTGGCATGCGATGAGCAGAATTCCATCGTACGCCACAAGCTCGCACTGGCAGTTTTTGTATCTAAACTATGTGACTAAAAAAAAGAAAAAAAGCAACGCTTATTCTAGTAGTCTTATAAAATGGGGGTTAAGGTGCATAGAAATTACGTCTGTTTTCTCTTTTATAAGGCATTGAAGACATTTGAATTTGTTATTCTTTGGAAGCGCATGACTGGGCGATCTAGATAACGGCGGTATTAAGCTGTCGGCGTTTCATCTGCACTGACTTTTATTCAATTCATAGGTGATTTAAACTGAGGTATGTGAATAAAATAATAAAAGTTATAATCAGAATAATAATATTAATATTAAGTGGTATTTATTGGCGAGTGCTTCAGTCAGACTGGAGTTTCTGGTCTGGCTAATGCCTTGAAGTTCCTGTGTGTCCAGACTCGGCAATATAAGTCGATTAAAAAGATTCCCACATAATCAAGTGCACACATACACCGACACACACGCACATCAATCACAATCTCATTTTCAGAATAAAGACGCACTCCCATGGGAGGAAGAAAAAAAAAACTGCACATGTACCCATATGCACAGCGCTTCAAAAATAATGAAGAAAAAGGAAAACACACACCCACACCTTAGACACTTCGGACTCGGTAGCCAACCATCAGAGGGAAGTTTACGTCCTAACCGGAGGAAAGTGAACATTTACACGGACAAGTACATTTACTTTTTAAAAGAAAAACCTAACCCTTTCAACGCCGCTCGCTGTCTATGCCGGAAAAAGGCTTTCTTCGCAAGCTCTGTTTGTGAAGAAAATGTTCACTTCAATTTTCTTGTTGCCAAACATAGAGTATAGAATTACGCTGAAATTGTTTCAATATACAGTAATACAGTATATTTAAAAAAACGAGGGTTTTAGGTGTGTGCATGTGCGTGCGTAGCGTTTGAAAGGGTTAACTTAAATACTCAAGTGTAAGTACGCCACACACGCGTACTCAAGGCATTTTGACATGAAAAACCTAAATACGCATTGGTTTGTGGTCACATAAAAATAATTCTATCCAGTTGGTTTTCAATGATCACCAAGTACATACTTTAGAGAGGGTAAGATAACAATCAGAACAAATCATATGAGTAGTTAACGACAAAAATAAAGTAGTTATCACTCTTTGCGCGTCAGCGAACATGCCTTTTAGAAATGTTTTCAACGTTTTGTTTGAATAGAGAGCCGTGAATCTGGGAAGTCACTGAAACTTTTCGGAGCATAAAATCTGTACAAACGTTCTCTATAGTGAGTTCTCACCTTCGTAAAAGAATATTTGGGGCAGATCTGAGCGCACGAGATGGACTAGTCTCGATCTTGAAGACATTTCACAATTGTCGCCAGATGACAGCTTGAAGCAAGCGTGAGTAAAAAGACAGCCGCTCAGGTGATGCAAATATGTTGGCGCTGGATGAAAACTGACTGTTGTATTCGGTCAAGTTTCAAATGCCAAAAAAAGCGGACAATTAAAAAAAAACTGTTTGCCATATTTTGGTATGCTCTCAGCTAAACCGTACATAATGTTTGTTCGAATTGACAGTGATAAACTATGATGCGGTACATCTGACAATAGACAATTTTTCAACCGTTAGCATTAGTGAGACATGTGAGTGTTCCATGAAATATCACGAATACTTTACGAAGTTCAGATATTCGACAGGACTACAATTAGAAGATAGAAAACTGAGTTTTTGAACGAATAATGGTAATGTCAAACTTAACATTTTTCAGTGGACTACGGAAGCATATCCGTTTTTTTTAAAGCATTATTTCGAAGCTTGTTAGCTGAAAAAAAGTAAATAATTTAGTTACATCTGTCTGAAGAATTTCCATCGCTCACTGGTAAAATAGAATATGGAGAGAATAAAACGGTGTCATCCGCCTATTGAAGAATTGTGGAATTAGCTATCACCGTAGAGCTATCATTTACAAAAAGTTAAACAGTAGAGAATAGAAAATAGATCCGTGCTGAACTGCGGATATAAGGTAGACTTGTATTCAGAGCTACAGTATTACTACAACATTACAATGTTACAAGCTTACATCAAATGTGGAAAGTACTATTGTAAATTAGGTGATGGAAACCCTCGACAAGTGCGGCTTAGGCCTCAAGTTCACTTTCGATCAAACCAAGGATACGTCTTTGCAATTCATCTACCTTCGCCATCTGTCCTGATCAATCACCTTTACTGGTGCTTTTCTTCCCGATCAAAGCAAGGCCATGCTCACCCTCTCATTCTGAAGTGGTAAAAAGAGGCACTGGCATTGCCATTCTTGGTTCGGCCCTGGCAAAGTCGTCTTACCATGCTGTCAAAGATGGTTGAAGTTCCCAGCTTGAACGGCTAAGGGCGTCTGGGGTTCCCCCAGAGGTACTTATAGAAATTTTTGGGACTTTGTTACTGAAGTTAAAGGTGTTCACAAGAGCAGAACAAACGTACAAAGGAGCGACCGGCGATAGTCCCTTAGCTGCGTAAATTTTCACACAATTTGAAATAGTTTGCCAACCGGTATGAGTACCCAGTACTATTTTCTGATTTTTCTGATCTCCATCAGATGGCCCAGATTCGTCACGGTGGGATCGATAATTGACACTCGCTCAACGCCCGGATGCCAAACGCGTCACAAGCACAAGTTATCTCCCTGATCGGAGGGTGTCGTGTACAAGATACCCTAACGTGTGGTGGTTGCTATATAGGATAGACCGGAAGATGTCTAAACGACCGACTCCGAGAACATTTTTTTCCCTTCACGCCAAGCTGGGAGGCCTCGTGCCCTCATACTGTTTCAAGTGCAAGTACTTACTAGCTTTTTCGAACACAACAACAATAGGCAGATCACAAAATTAGCAAACCAACGAAATTTTGGATGCCTATCATATAAAAAAAATTGGCTAGCGATGAGTGAGCCACTCCTCGCTGGCGAATCGCGTGTGTGTGATAAGGAGGTAGTTGTTCCAAGCTAACCCCTACAAGGATTGATATGGGCCAGCCTTGTCTTTGATTCCTCTTATTTTTCTTTTTCTTTTTCCAAATTCGGTTTCCGTTTGTGATATTTTTCCCCCCTTACCTTTCTAGCGCAATTTATTAATGTATCACTTGAATTCCTTCCTTTTTTTACGGTGCCTACAACGTTAGGTGCGTGTGTTAATTTCTGATGCATCGTCTACCTATTTCGTTCACAATACATCAGTTGAGAGTTGGGAGTCAGCGCTCTGTGTTCTCTTCTTTTCTCTCCCTCACTGCTTGTGCGTTGCTTTTTAATATAAGTGAATCAGCTTATTTTAAACCGTATTTTTAGATTTATTGCCTAACACCGAGTGCCCAGATTTTTTTTCGCCTCCATTAGATCTTAAACATAAAACACAAGCTATGTAAAGAGTAATGCTAAATAAAAAAAGAAGGTATCAAACATCAGAAACTGTGGATTTTTTTTTAAATTAAGCTATATTCAATATAAAAAAATCGTTTTCCTGACGCCTGTCCCTCTAAGTCACGTATTTAGAACTCAAACCTGAACCTGGACATTCCGCAAACTTTTTAATTCGCACACATTGTATTTTTTATACACGACGTGACACATTTAGGTGATTAGAAAATAAGCTTCTCGAGCGCATGCGGTATATGCTATAAACATGGCAGTCAATGAAATAATGTCAAAAGTATAGTTCGTCCACTCTGTCTAGTTCGTTAGGCACGGTACTAAAAAGCATGATTAAAGGGACCATGAAATGACCTTTTTACTTTTTCCAGATAACTTTTACATTAAACCGTCAATGTTCACTGAATGCCGAACAGGCATCCGTTTTCGTCTCGGTTTATTAACTTTTACACAAAAAATTATTGAAATATCGACTTTTTCATTCTCTCCAACTGACCGCAAAAGAAGCCGTGACGTAGACCGTTTCCGGAACCGGAAGTTCTCTCGGCAGTAGGAGAATGGGAGTGTTAGCGGCAACGAGTTGGGGTGCGCCGGTAGGTTTTACTGCGCTGACGTCACCGACGTATTTCCTGAATCGGCGCTTCTCATCGCCGCATCGCAGCTGAGCGAAATTCAATGAGATACGTTGCGCTACAGCGACAGCATGGGACTAGTCCCATACGCCGTTATGCCTGTTGGGAAGTGCAGCGAGTCTTGTCACCACCCCGTCATTGTTGGCAGAAGGGCCGGCCCGTGTCAGTCGTTTGCAAAGCGACGTAGATGGCGTTTTTCGCGGCCTCGGAGATGCAGGAGCGAGCCGACGTTAAAAAAGATACGTTTGAACTACGAGTGTCAGCAAGAGCCACGTAAATACCTGTTTACACTCGGAGCGGACGCGCGCGCTTGATGGAAGTCTTGTATTCGCGCTGTTTGGTAAGCGCTTCGGGACCGTTCTTTTACGATTGCAACTCGATACTGACGCGACACTCGGCAAAGAAAGGTTGGACC